AAAGCCCATTTTAATTATTCAGGCCAGGCCATTTTCTGGGGATTTGGATGAGCCTCACCTACACTTACTGGTCAGGCTGTAGGGGATCCCACTAACTCATATCACTTGAACTTGGCCCCGACTTCCTCTTGTGAGGGGCCAAGGCCTTGGAAACAGGAAAACTGATTTGGAGTTAGGTAATTAGAGGGTGAGGGAAATATAACTTCCACAGATTTCACACACTCCCCAAGGATCAGGCTTGATAAGATTTCCATATTTTAAAACAATTGAGTAAATCAAATATCAGCTGCATCAATTTTCAGAGTTTTGAAAAAGAAAGTAATTTCTTCCAAATATACATGTTCTTACATTCTTACTTAACTTTGCTTGAGGCTAAAGATAATCTCCAGTTAGCTCCGTCTTGGTTCGAATCCTTCTAGAAACCAACAATGAGAAAGATGTGAGCGCGAGTCTTTTTTCTGGGAATCATCGCAAGTGCGTTCATGGAGTAGGAAATACAGAGGGATGGGAAGGTAGTGAATGAATGGGATGTTAATGAGCAGGTAACTTCTGAGGGCAACTGTGGCCCAATTCCATGGGGGAGCACTGGGCAACGGTATTGGAAAATGTGTCAGGTACTCTCATCAAAGAAAGATGGGGTCTTTCTACAACTCCTCTGCATCTTTGGCTGAGGGGTCCTTCCCACTCACCCACCTATCCTGATATTTCTCATTCAGCTGCCAGAAAAAAATGTCAGGAGAAAAGTTGCAGGTTCTGATACAAATGGTAACTAACAAGGGAATAGGTCCAGGCAAAAGGGCATCTGCTCCAGGCACACATCCTTTCCTCCCAATGTACCTGTCCATCCCACACCCCAAACCTACCAACCAAGGAACACTCTTTGTTATGAGCTGATCTCCATTGGCTTTCAGGATTGAACTAAACGTTAAAGAGACCATCAACCCATAGGTGGTAATTGGAATATAGAAGAAAACTGTATGAATCTTTAAATACTCCAAGGAAGGGTTCTACTACAAATCTGGAAGATAAACCGGGATATCACTGCACAGACAAAAACATGGTCCAGGGTCTTAGATTCTCCAGGACACCGTGTGTAACCTCCATTGCCAATTCCTCTGCATTCTCATGTCAGCACATCTTTGTTCTACCTACTCCACCTTATCCTGATGTCTATCAAGCATCTCACTCTCTTGTGAGGGGAGAAAGAGGGAGTTAGAATGTACTTAAAGTTTAGAAGACAATAATTGACAAATAAGCAGGCTTGTCCTCATGACATCTTATGGTGTGTTGTTGTTTTTTTCTTCTGGAAATTAAAGGTAGCACATGTAGTCAGGAGCCCAGACTCAAACCAAACTGCCTGGGTCTGAATCCCATCTTTATCATTTATGAGTTGTGAGTAATCCTGGGGAAGTTATTCATCTGCTGTGTAAAATGGGCTTAATAATAGTACTACCACTTTGGGCTGCTCCAAGGATTCCATGCTTTAATACTTGTACCTAGAATAGTGCCTAGGATGTGCTCATTGCTTGACAGGTGTCTGATAAAAAAATGTAAAGGAATCCTACAATAGATAACAAATATGCCTTGTGATTAGTGCCAGGAGGAAATGGTGTTGGATAAAATAGTCCTAACTTCACTATCAAATTATAGTTTCAAAGTAAGTTTTTTTTCCCATCACTTTTCTTTCCACAACACCAAAAATAAGAAGCACTGATCTTGAACTCTTCAGAAATGAGGTGGAGAATAAGTCTTGCCACTGACTAGCTATGAAAACCTGCTTTCTCTGGGATTCTAGCTGTTTGCCTACATCTTGGGGATGTATCAAGCATCAAATAAAGTAACATATATATATATATTCCTAATATGCAAATAGACCAAACTGCAGAATAACCGAACAACAGGTCACTATGGTGTATGCTGACCACCAAGGGGGAACATGGCGGACATTGGCAGAAGGGAGAAGAGTATGGAACATGGCAGACATCAGCCATGGGAGGATGGTGGAGCAGGTGAGCGGGGTGTGCTTGACCAAGGCTGGGTGCCAGTCACTGTCATTGGGGCAAGTCTCTGGTTGTTACTAAAAAATTCTTGCTCCCCTGTGCCCAGCATTCACACCTGCTGCCACTGCTAGCCCCACTCACACCCACTGCCAGCATCAGAGTCACCACTCGCACCCACTGCTGGAGCACAGTGCTGGCCTTGATCACTCAGTGCCATCATCAGGTGTGAGTGGCAGCTGCCAACCCCTATTGCCCCTCAAGTCTTCTCTACCTCTCCCTGCTCCTGAGGGGCGATCGAGGCAGCAGCCACCTCTCGCACCCACTGCTGGAGCCTGCCCCAATTGGAGCCTGCCCTAATTGGAGCCTGCCCCAATTGGAGCCTGCCCCAATTGGAGCCTGCCCCAATTGGAGCCTGCCCCAATTGCTCTGTGCCATCAGTGGGTGCAAGTGGGGCCAGCGCTATCAATGAATGAGAGTGGCAGTGGCTGTGGCAGGAGCAAGGCTGCCAGCAAACAGGGGACGAGGGGCAAGAGTGGGAAGGGCCAGGCAGGGGCGCAGAGAATGAGCCAAGATCTGTCCCTGTACCCACGGCAGCCTTGCGGCCCACAGTTCCTTTCAAGGCACATGAATTTGTGCACTGGGCCCCTCGTAGATAAATAACTTTCAGATTCTTGGGTGTCTTACAAAGTGAGCTCTGCTTACTGCCTTCTTTTACTTCTCCTGCTTCTTTTCCATTTTCTTCAGGATCCCTTTTCCATTTTCCCTCCATTTTTATCATTCTCTCTTATAAAATAATTCAAAGGAATTTTTTTAGACCAAAACTAAGAGGACTATAAAGTCAGGAGTAATCTTATCAACCATAGGTAATCTCTTGTAAAGAGTAATCAGCCTTCTTAGTCTTTAAAAATAAATGTAGCCAAAACTGGTTTGGCTCAGAGGATAGAGCATCGACCTGAAGACTAAAAGGTCCCAGTTTTGATTCCAGTCAATGGCATGTACCTTGGTTGCAGGCACATCCCCAGTGGGGGGTGTACAAGAGGCAGCTGATCCATGTTTCTCTCTCATCAATGTTTCTAACTCTCTATCCCTCTCTGTAAAAAAAAAAAAAAAAAAAAAAAAAAAAAAAAAAAAAAAAAAAAATCAATCAATCAATAAATAAATGTATTTTAGGCCCTTACTATTGTTTGTAGCTGCGTTTTAAAATTTCTTTTAGGGTCACATTTTTTATGTCACTACACTTTATGATATGACTTTAAAAAACTATCCCATTTTTAATGCACCCTCTTTTTTGCAACTTATTTCCAATTATGGGACATTTGGGTGTTTTTCTCCAAATTTCCTCCTATTAAAAATAATAGGGGCATGAACATCCTTAGAGAAATGTCTTTCCTCAAAATTAATACCATTTCCTTGGAATTTTTAGGAGAGAATTGACAATATCACATATAATTTATATTTCTTAAATTCTGATATACAGTGCCAAATTTTTTTCTAGAGTGATGATTTCACTTTAAACTCTTTTCAAGAGTATTGGAAAATGCCCATTTTTCTTCTAATTTCATCAAAAATTATAATCTTCAAATAGTAACTTGATATTCAGAAAATAAGATATGTGGTTACAATTTATATTTATTTATTTGTGAAATTAAAAATGTTCATTGGCCATTTTTATGTCTCTGTGAATTTCTTATTTATGTCTTTTTCTATTTATATCATTTCACCTATCTTGTGCTATACATTATTTTACTTCTTCAAATATAAGGGCTCTTTACACAGAAAGGACATTAACCCTTTGCAGTGTCACATACTTTTTTTAAGTTTGCCATTTGTTTTCATTTTTATAGAAATATTAGAGCATGGGAGTTTCTGTTTTTTATGTGGCTTTGTTTGCTTTGATTTTAATGGTTGGTGTCTATGGCATGCTTGGGAAGGCCTCTGCTATCCCAACTTTAAATAGACAGTTATCCACTTAGTATTTCCCCCTCCCGCCCCACCTCCCTTTTTTTCTTCTCCCTGCCCATATTTCAGAATTGCCATAGATGAACGGCAGGGCCCCAAGGCCACTTATCTGTGTGTGGTCCTAGCTCCAGGCTCAAACCTAAGTGTGTCCAGTACAACCTCACTGTGTCATGCTGAATTCTGTGAAAGACATTCTAAGGAGGGAAAGGAATCCACAAGATCTTTGACTCTTAGAACTAAAATGCGTTAAAATAGCATTTTGTTCCTGCTCTTCAAACATGAATTACTTGCCCTGCTTAACATTAAAAAAAAAAAAAAAGTCAGAATTCATTACCAAGTTTATATGAGTTTCTAAAGCAGAATATGGGGGGATTAATCATTGTGCATGCCTTCTCAAATGTTCCTAGTTGCTGGAAGACTGGGAAGTTAATAAATTAGCCCTAATAAGAAATTTCTTTACATCATATTTGAATCTCTCATTATTCCCTCCTCTTAAGACAGATGGAAATACTCTATTTTTACCAATGGCAAAAAAAAAAAAAAAAGGTCCAAAATCATAGCAGAAAACAACCCATCAGGTCACTGCATTTGCTCTTTCATTGTAAGAATCTCATGGGTTTGAAAAAAAGATAGCTAGGAAGTTGAATCCCATCTCTGCCACTACCTAACTGCATGACCCAGGGTGAGTCGATTGATTTCTCAGACCTCCATTTTCTGATATGTTGATATTAATACTCACAATATACTAGTAACTAAGAGTAATTGAGTCACTACTCCATGCCAGGCATTGTTTTAAGCATTTTACATGTGTCACCCAAGGAAGCAGCTACTATTTTCATCCCCATGTGACAGCTGATAAAACCAAAGCACAAAGAGCATGTTGCCCAGAGTTACACAGTAGAAAGTTGGAGGAGCACAATGTGCAGGATCATTTGATGGCAGAGTGATGAGCTCCATGTTTGTGACTGTAAACACATTCAGGGAAGTGTTTGCTCAGTGCCTACGGAGGAGAGAGTCCCTTTGGTGGGACCTTCTTCCTACCTCGCACAGTTGCAAGCTCCCCATCCACGTGAGCCATGCACTGCATGGCCGTAGCCCCCACGCATATTGGCATGCTGACTCGCTGTCCTAAAACAGAAGTAGACAGGTCTATTTCAACAACATTCCGGAGCATCCGTGGATACAGCTTCCATCTAGAATTAAGAGAAAAATTCTTTTAGAATTTCAAAAGCGTAACTAGAGCTTTGACATTATGTGTTAGTTAAAAAGAGAACATTTTCTTCTATTGAAGCAAATTACAGAGCGAAAGGAAAGGGGACAATTGGGATGTCCGTGAAGATGGAAGGTTAGAATTAAGATAATAACAGATTCCTCACGCCATTGAGCCCAGTGAGGTATATTTGCCCACTTGCCCATTTGAGTGTACAGTTTTGTGAGCTTTGATAAATGCATGGTCATAATAACTGCAAGAACAATCAAGATTTACAACAGTTTACCATCCTGAAATATTTCCCCATTTCCTTTTGTAGTGAAATCCTCCCCTTACCCATGCCTGAACAACCACTAATCTTTTTTTTTTTTTTTTGTCCCTATAGTTTTACTTTGCAAGAATGGTGTATAAATAGAATCATACAGCATGTAGTCTGAGAGCTTGGCTTCTTTGACTTAGCATAATGCATTTGAGATTCAGCTATGTTGCTATAGACATCAGTAGATTGTTCCTTTTGGTTGGTGAATAATATTCTATAGTAAGAAGATTATACCATTTGTTTATCCATTCTCTTGATAAAAGACATTTAGGATGTTTAGAATTTAGTACAATTATAAATAAAGTCACAAGGAACATTCACTTAAATTTTTTGGGTGAACATAGCTTTCATTTCACTCCCTCCAAGCCTTCTGAAGATGGTACAGGAAGGCATGAAAGTCAGGTTATAGTTTAAAAAGATGGGCTGTGGCTACTCTGTCATATACAATGTGTGTGGGTTTTTCCAAAATCTCTTTTTTTAAATATGTGTTTATTGATATCAGAGAGAGGATGTAAGGAAAGGGAAAGATAGATAGAAACATCAATGATGAGAGAGGATCATTGATTGGCTGCCTCCTGCACTCCCTCTACTGGGGATGGAACTGGCAACCCAGGCATGGGCCCTGTCCAAAAATTGAGCCGAGACCTCCTGGTTCATAAATCAAGGCCCAACCACTGAGCCATACCAGCCAGGCTTTTTTTCAAAATCTTTAAGCTGAATTCTGTATTCGCTAAAGTATGCTGATGAGAGGAAATTTTTTTTTTCAGTTTAAAATTGAGTATTTTCTTCAAAAATATCATGTGGCAGAGATTGGAGTTTTTGACTCAAATGTTGACTACTGAACATTATCTTAAATACCTTCTTCTGTGATTGTTTTGTGTTGCAATAAAAATACCAACAACCAAAAACCAAAATGTCACCAGTGAAATTTACAGGAGAGGTACTTGTCTTTTTCTCTTGGCAAAATTTATATCTCTCATTCGTTCAAGATTATTTTATTCACCATTAGTAACTGATTTCAAAGGAAGAAAACACAGCCCTGTTCTAATGAGCTCTAAGACAATAGTGTGAGTATACAGGCATCCATACCAACCAGCGCTTACCTTTCATACCTAGATCTGCCTCCGCTCTCAGGGAGATCAAGGATTTTAGTCAATAGAGTGAAGTGTGATTTAGTAATGGACTAACCAAAATAAATTGAACCTCCATGGGCTTAAGTGAAGCCTACTTCCTATAGCGGAAGGAGAAATTCCGCCTTCATGTTGCTTTGAGAAATAGCTAACGGGTCTGTAATCCTACCCTCCAACCCTCCCTCACCTAATGAAGTGAAAACATCCAGTCCCTGCAAAGCATAATAAAGAAGTTTTACTGTGCGATTTCTCTGCATCCCTTTGAACACTGCGATTTTCGGTCACAACATAAGCATGGCTGCTGGAGGCCATTTCTTCTCCGCTGACCCTCTCAGCACGGTTCTTTGATCTCCGTTTTGAAGAGGGTAGAGGAGGATAGAAGCCTTGAAGAGAGTTTTTATTACCCATCATCTCTATGCGTATTATTTGAGGGAGAGAAAAGGATTTTAATAGCAGCCACTGCAGTGCAGGCCTTGGGAGGCATTCATATTTACTTAGAGCTAAGGGAACAATAGGAGCTTTTATGAAGTGCACACATAGAGCTGCGGGGCATCAGGTGTGTGTGTGTGTGTGTGTGTGTGTGTGTGTGTGTGTGTGTGTGTGTGTGTTTCGCGCGCGCAAGGCGAAGTCCTATTCTATCTCAGGCAGCTGCTTTACCCTTGTCCACATGGTGGCGCAGTCACTTTAATAACTGTGTGTTCCCGCTTCCCTACACATTATTTTTCTGTTCTGAGGATGACATTAGAGAGACTTGTGAACCAAGGCAACAAATGCAATTCCTAGACAAAATTAGATTAAAAGGCAATGGAGTGGGAAAATGTATGCCCTCAAAAAAGTCCTCCACATTTTGATATTTTCCAAAGAGCAATTGCAATTAACTTTGTCAGTTTCAATAACTTTGCAAGCCCTACCAACCCCCATCCTCAATTGAAGTGATTCCCACATAAAAAAAAAAAAAAAAAAAAAAAAAAAAAAACCTTACATAAAATAGGAGTTTCCCTGAAAGGTTTGGCTCAGTGGATAGAGCGTCAGCCTGCAGACTGAAGGGTCCCGGGTTTGGTTCCCGTCAAGGGCATGTACTTCGGTTGCAGACACATCCCCAGTGGGGGATGTTCAGGAGGCAGCTGGTCGATATCATTTCATCTATCTCATTTCTCTCATTGATGTTTCTAACTCTCTATCCCTCTCCCTTCCTTTCTGTAAATAAATAAATAAATAAATAAATAAATAAATAAAATAAAATAAAATATATTTAAAATAAATAAGTAGATAAATAAATAGGAGTTGACCATAACCTTGGACTGAGCTCTTCTGAGACCTTCACTTTAGAAAAACTATGTGAATATTGACAAAACAATCAAACAAACTGAATAATAAACCTTTGTTAAAGGGTGGGAAAAGATGCCTGAGTAAAGGAAGTAGGGTAAAGGTGAGGAATCCTTTAACAGGGCTTTTGACCCATATTTCACATCCAACAAGGGCCTCAAATTTATCAAAAAATCAGCAGACATGCAGATTTGATTCTATTGAAGGAAAACAGCTATGTGCTGTTACTGAATCCCACCAACTGAACAGAGTGAATTAATGTTTTGTAAATCCTGTAAGATAATCCTACTGCATTCTAATTTCAACTCTAAGCATTTAGAACATAATATCCTATATAATAAAAGGTTAATATGCAAATTGACCCTAATGGTGGAATTGCTGGGAACAACCAGTCGCTCTAATGCTCAGTGACCATCGAGGGCAGATGCTCAATGCAGGAGCTGTCCCCTGGTGATCAGTGTGCTCCCATGGGGGAAGCACCACTCAGCCAGAAGCCCCCACAGCAATCGGACATCCCCCAAGGACTCCAGAACTGCGAGAGCACAGGCTAGGCTAAGGGACCCCCTCCCTCCCTGAGTGCATGAATTTCGTGCACTGGGCCTCAGTATATATATATATATATAAAACATATCACAATTTTTATAACTTTATTGTTTACCATTCATTTTTTAATACCTTCTTTAGTCCTTGAATCTCCATCAATTGGTGCATGATGAGTGTGTGTGTGTGTGTGTGTGTTTGTCAACACTTTTCTGGATAAGGAAACCACAGCTTTGGGGTAGAAGGGGGAAGTAGAAGGGAGAGGGAGAGGAGGGAGGAAGGGAAGGGGAGGAGAAAATAGAGTTGGGATATGAAATTCTTTCCATGTGAATCCCCCAAAATAAGAGACAATTAGCTGCTTTTCATCATGCAAGAGCAAAAAACAACATACCCAATTTTGCAAACTAGCTAAATGATTCTGTGACATTTATGCCTTATGAAAAAATATTGAAAATGCCACTGGTAAGTTTATGTGCTACTCAAGTATTAAAGAGAGAATGATATCACGTTTACCATCTGTTATTTTAAAGTATCAATCAGTGATGCAAAAAAGAACAAGAATAGCTTCCTTTTCTAATATCATGAAACTTCTAAATGCCAAAATTGTAGAGTTATTTTCCACCAGTGTTAATTTCACAAGAAGACACAAAATATGTGCAGATCACAGTTAAGACAGATACACTGAGTTATTGTGTAAAAGAATCAAATTACTGTTCTTTTTCAAATGAACTCTAATGGGGTCAGACCATGTAGGATGTAGCAAGCTGACGTCTACTCTTTCCTTGTCCTGTTTGCAATAGAAAACACTGTTTTGAGTGGTTCTATCTATTTGCCTTTATGTGTTCTTTCATTGGGGGTTGGGTGGCACAATAATATTAGAGTCCCAAGTCTTACCCAGAAATTTCTCCAAGCAACTGCTGGGTCACATACGTGGCACATGTCCCCAGAACTCCAAAATGTGGTTTTCAGAGCTAAGTGCAGAAAGATAAAAGCTGTCACTGAGAATGACCCTTGGTTGTACTTGTGGGAGAGCAAGATGTAAAAGTGTCACAAATGCCTTTAAAGTACCCTGCTATTGTGTCACAACAGGCTACGATGTGAGGTCTGGTTGTTTTGTAGTCTTCATTTAAATCAGAATGAGAGATTTCAAACTGATTCCCTTCATCCCAGGAACCCAAAGCCACCACAACCCTGGCAGAAAAATCTAGTCTTAATTTCACATGATCAGCTCGATACAGGGTGAGGGATGAAGGGTCACCCCATTCAGTTACACAACAAAAGAGGAACTGAGATGTTAGATAGGCAATGGTCTCTAACGTTCGTTGCAAAAAAACTCCTCAAGTGATTGATAATAAAATCCTCCACAGAAAGTGGATTACATATATACTAGAGGCCCCTTGCAGGAAGTTTCCTGCAATAGGGTTTCCTGCTGTGGTCTCTGCTGCCTTCTCTCTCTTCCCCCTGCCTCGCCTGCTTTCCTTCCTTCTCCACCACCCCGCTTGCTTGCTTCTCTGCAGCTTCATTCCCTTCTTCAGTGCTTGGCTTCTTTCTACCCTGTTTTCAGTCTTTTCTCTGGCCTGGATATGCAAATTAACCACTATCTTTGTTTGGTTAATTTGCATACTTGCCCTGATTGGCTGATGGGTGTGGCTTATGGGTGTAGTGAAGGTACAGCCAATTTGCCTGTTTCTCTTTTATTAGAGAGGATACACTGAGTGGCCAGATTATTATGCTCTCTGAATGCATAATAATTTAGCCACTCAGTGTATATCCTGTATAATAAAAGGCTAATATGCAAATTGTCCCCTCAACCAGGAGTTAGACCAGCAGGCAGGCTTGCCAACCACCATGTTCCCTCCTCCTGGCCAGCCTGGCCAGACCCCACCCATGCACGAATTCATGCACTGGGCCTCTAATACACACACGCACGCGCTGAGTGGCCAGATTATTATGTGTTCAGAGATCATAATAATCTGGCCACTCAATGTATTTATCTATCCATTTTTTCCCTTTCAAGGTTGAACAGAAGAGAACAATCCAGGTTGGTGGAAAAGGTAGCAGAGCAAACTCATTCCTAGTATCTGTGTCCTGTCCCTAAACCAACCCTTCAGCATACACACAGGCTGGGAAGACTCAGGGGAACAGAGAACCACATGGTTCACATAAGCAGTGAGGTTCAGATCAAAGCTTAGAAGCACCGCACACAGCCTTTTACAGTTCACACAGTTTCTGGAATGCCTAGGGTTGCAGAAGGGGTCCGTCTGCTTTTCTGCATACCTTGACTCCCTCTCGGAGGCCACCATGGGGCCAACTGTTTTGGGTCCATTCTGCACCCATGCAACCCACCAGCATTATGGAGGCCAGGCCCATATGTGTCCATTGGAATGTAAGATCCCCTGGACAGGAACTTTCTCTGTTTGGCTCATTGCTCTGTCCTCAGCATTTAATACAGTCTAGCCCATCAAGGTTCCTAATAAGTGTTAGTAGATTATTTAACTAGCATGGGTTGAGGGGAGATAAAGGCAGAGGAAGGCTATACATAAATGGAATAGGTGGCCCCCTGACATTGTGCCTTGCCGTGGTCTGCCAACTGCAGCTGGTGAGCCACATGTGGCTCGTTGGCCCCTTGAGTGTGGCTTTTCCACAAAATACCATGGCCTGGGCAAGTCTATTTTGAAGAAGCGGCGTTAGAAGACGTTTAAGTTTTAAAAATTTGGCTCTCAAAAGAAATTTCAATCGTTGTACTATTGCTATTTGGCTCTGTTGACTAATGAGTTTGCCGGTCACTGCCTTAAGGAATACTAACAGGCACCAACTCCATAAGCCTAACAAGGAGCTGGCCTTTCCTTGGTTAAAGTGACCTATTGGGTTAAGGTGTTGTCTTCAGGATATGAATAATAAGCAAACTACATTACCTGGTGAACAGAGTTGACATGGGCCCAGGAAGGGCCATCTTCCAAGAGCAGAAAACTAAAAGTGCAAAAGTATTAATGATTGAAAAACATGCCGAATTGTAAGCCCCTCCTCTACTCTTAGCCAACTTTTCCCTCCCCACGCTCTTCCAACATTTTTTCAGCTCATTTGGTTTCAAGGGAAGATCTGAAATAAAGTCAAGGCTGCCAAAGGTTTGGGGGAAGCCCCAACGTGCACCCCATTCTCAGGCTCCTGCACTGATTTGCAGGTGAATCTGTCCTGCTTACTAGGGAGCACCTTGGGTAGAATGGTCTCATTCCTCCTCATTTATACATGAAGAAGTGAATTTGAGTGATTTTGCTCTAGACTAAAGAAATAAAAAAATCAAGAAGAAAGGTAGATTCTTTCCCCTGGATATTTTTTCCCTTTTCTATTTAATTTATCACCATCAATGAGCACCCGCGACACTCGTTGGCTTTACTAAAGGCTCTCATGTAAAATGGATGAGCCTGAGAGAGTGTGTATTCAGGGCTCTTCTCCCTTCCTGGAGCAAATAAACCATTTTTGTAACTGTCGAGAGATAAAACACTCCTTTAAAGTTATTTTCCTTTCTGTTTTTATTACGAGCAGAAAACATAAACCATGACACCCACCATCCTGTGCTTTGAAATATGAAAGTTAAGGGAAAACGGACTTGGGAAGAGAGAGATGAAGCTCTTTGGAGCAGAGCAGAAACAGCAAAGTTGAAAGATGAATGCTCCATAGACAAAATGAAATCTAAAGTGAAAGTTTAGACAACAGTCATCAACATGAATGATAAGAGGCAAGCCAGCAGGATGGGAACATTTGAGACAAATGTACTGGCTCAACCAGAGAAGATGATTATCTCGCATTTAATGTCTTTCCTACACCGTGAGCAGACTCTCACAGTCCTACTCAGAGAAAAAGACGATGGGGCAATCACAATTCAGTGCTGCTCTTTTACACAAAGTTAAATCAGTTATCCACATAATTCCAAGTGGGGAAACTTAAAGTTGGCTTTCAGTCAATCGTTCAATATTCTCAGGCTTAGAATAATTTAAAATAATGTAAAAGCCCAAGGTTTCTCCCAATCCCAAGATTTTCCCTTTCTCTATTAAGCATAGACAAATAATTCCACGTCATCGACATTAAAACTAGGGGAACATATTTTTGGAAGAATGCCTTTGTGTAATTTTAATACCTCACATTGTTTCAGAGACAATACCTTCTGTAAAACTCCTCTCTAGGCCTCAGTGAAGTTGAAACTGCAGAACCAGGTCAACATGGTCCTATTCTGTTTCACACAAGATACTGAGTTGCCTTTCAGAGACAATGGGCCAAAACTGCCAGCCATGCAACCAAAGCATGCACAGAGGAGAGGACTTGGACCGCCAACTTGATTTAAAAATAAATGTGTTTTCTTACCTCGAAAACGCCGCCATATTATCAGCCAGGGTTTCCTGATCATTTGCCCCAGACCTATAATAGTCATAGACAGACTTCGGAAGAATTGACTTAGCATGTTGTTCATAATCGCTGATACAAACTAGCCGGGTGAACATCTTCACGGGTTATTGCAAGCCCAAGGTTGGTTTTATTTGTTTTCCCGTGTTGCCTTCTACATCTTGACAATTCTGTTATTTGTCAATGATTAATAGACTTTTTTCCAAAGTTCAGATTTAGTTCACTGGGGTTACATTAAGTGAGCAAACATATGCTTAGACTTTGAAATTTCATTTGAAATGATCAGCCAAAGAAGAGCAACGCCTGTCCTAAGCCATGAGAATTGAGGTTAGAGAGCAGCAATTTCTGTCACATTAAAAAGGCAGAGGAATGAGTTTTCAAAAATCAACAACTTAGAGCTAACTACTTGCATGAACCTGCGCTTGGCTTGGCTCAGTTCTGCTATGGGTGCTTCCTCCACACAGTGTGTGCCTTTGCTCCTTCCTTGGTCCCCAGAATGGACGGCCATTCATGTCCCTGCCACATGTGGATCGCGCACATATCATGTGAAAAAGAGCTGATGTAACAAGTGGGACCTCCAGGAAACACAGATGTCCACGCAATCTGAAATATGGCTGATTATGAACATTTGGCTTTAAAAAGGAACCTGAAGGTCAGACACATGGCTAATTCTTACAAAGTCTTACCTCGCTCTGGAGTGGTTGTAAGGAGGTGCTATTCCTAAGGACCCTGTGGTCAGTCTAGGATTCCAGTTAGTCATGGAACACCCAGCGAACTCTCACATTGATCAGACAAAATTCATAAAGCAGTGGCTTTGATGTCAGTCCATCCTGGGTTTCAGTCTAGGAGCCTCCAATTAAAGCCAGCGATTCAGCAGCTGCAGTCCATCTGCAGGCAAACTGGCCCCTGGCAACGTAAGTCGGAAACGTTCAAACCTGTAGAGAATTTGATGAGTTTCACTGAGCCAAACTGACGACAATCACGAGGAAGCAAGATCTCAAGGGATTGAGAAAATGCTCCAGAGAGTGACAGTTTTGCATCTTATTTTGTACATCACAACCCAAGGAAGAGGCCTGAGGAAGGTTACATGAGATCCACTGGTGATAAGTTAGGGGGGGTGGGAGAAAGAAAAGCTGGGAAACCTCTGGGATTGGATACAAAGTAAAATGGAGAGATGTATTCCTTGTATATACATTGGTGGGTATAGGAGAGTTAGCAGCTAACATTTACAGCGCATAGAGGTGGTATGCAAGGGACGAGATAACGAAAGGTTCAGTCCCCACATTGCTTAATTGATCTCTTAGTGGAGAGAATTGAAAATAGTGCTTGGAAGTTAGAACAGTTTCTGTTCGTTGCATATGCAAATACCTCACATTGTTTCAGAGACACTACCTTCTGTAAAACTCCTCTCTAGGCCTCAGTGAAGTTGAAACTGCAGAACCAGGTCAATATGGTCCTGTTCTGTTTCACACAAGATACTGAGTTGCCTTTCAGAGACAATGGGCCAAAACTGCCAGCCATGCAACCAAAGCATGCACAGAGGAGAGGACTTGGACCGCCAGCTGCTCTCGGAACCAAAATTGCACCTCCCACTCCTCAGAACCAAAGGACCAGGTCAGGACCTGAATTTGAACACAGGAACCCTTTCAGAAGGAAAGGGTGCCTTGTGCAGGAATATCTGGGACTGAAACCTTTAGCATATCCTCCTAGCTAATAAAGATAATAATGCAAATTGACTGTCATGCTGTAACAAGATGGCTGCACCCACAGCAGAGGTGAGGATCCCATAACACAGTGTTTCCCAAACTTCTCTCATGATGAGAATCACCTGGTGGAGTTGTTAAACTACAGATTCATGAATCCCAACCAAGAAGTGTTAAACTAGAATTTTTGGGGAACATATGGGTAAAATTGTATACTTAACTTAGTGCTCTGTCTTAGAGCACTAAAAATTCTAGTTTAGCACTTCTTAGCTGGGATTCAGGAATATGTAGTTTAACAACTCCACCAGGTGATTCTCATCATGAGAGAAGTTTGGAAACACTGCATAACACAACATGGCTGGGCCCACAGCAGATGCCTACGTAGTTCTCATAATGAGCCTTAATGAGCAATCAGCAGGGACCTGAGGCTGCGTGGTGATGGGCCAGGGCAGGGGACCTGAGACTGTGCCCCCTGCTTGGTGGAGCTTGACAGGGGACTTCAGGCTGCATCCCCCATCTGGCGGAGCTTATTGGAGGATCTCAGCATTGGGCCAGGGGACCTGAGGCTGCACCCCACACTCTAGCGCTGGGCAGTGGGACCTAAGGCTGTATCCCCCTCAACTGTTGGGGCTTGACAGGTGACTTCAGGCCTCACACCCTGCCCTGGCTCCAGGCCAGAGTACCTGAGGCTGCATTCCCCACCCGGAGGGCTTGATGGGGGTAGACTGGCTGGGTCTGGATATTGCCCAATGGGGGTGAGGCCGGCTGGATCTAGGTCTAGAGTAATTTCAAGGCGCATGTGGGTGGGCGAGGACTTGACTCTGGTTCCTGTGGTGCACCCCAGACTCTGACAGGGGGAAGATTTTCATGTACATTTTACTGATTGTCTTTCATCTCTGACACTTCTATTATAGAGAAAGGGCAAATAGCAATATTAAAATATTTCCTCTAATTAATTCCTTTTTAATGTGCATGAATTTTGTTAACCCAGTCACCATAAATGGCCAACTTCCAACCTTCTTTAATCAAAATGTGCACTGCCACCCTGGCTCGTTTGGTTCAATGCATAGAGCATCTGCCTATGGACTGAAAGGTCCCTGGTTCGATTCTGGTCAAGGGTACATTCCCGGGGTTGTGGGCTCAATCCCCGGTAGGGGGCATGCAGGAGGCAGCCAATCAATTATTCTCTTGCATCATGGATGTTTCTAGCTCTATCTCCCTCTCCCTTCCTCTCTGAAATCAATAAAAATATATTTAAAAATCAAACAAACAAACCCATTGATTCAATAACTTTGGAGAGTTTGGGTTTTAAATAATAGCTTCCTGTTCTCCTTGGTCGGTGCCCTGCAAATTAAACAGTTTTAATTTTTCCTTAGCAAACCTGATGTTCCATCTGGCTTTGCTGTGCATGGGGTGGGCAGACCTTCGTTCTGGATGGTTCGGCTCAATAACAAAATGAGATGCAGAGGACATAACACATCCAAACAAGTCCAGGTCTTGTTCAAGCAACTGAGTCTGCATTTGCCAGCCCTGGCCCCAACCCCTCCACCCACCAATTTCGGAAGCAGGATGTCTGAGAATGTCAATGCAGCTAATGCAATGGCATCTGCTGGATGTGAGCACTCTCCTTCCCAGTGGCCAAAAGAATAAGAATTGTTTTACACGAGACTTAACTGTTTTACACCTAATTTATGCCCAGTCCTACTTAATATCCCAATAAGATGCTTCACCACATGCACATCCTTTGGACATTTTCCAAACCACATAACTCTTCCCCTGCCTTCATCCCAAGGGAAATGCAAGTGTGAGCCAGAACGAAGCAGTGAGAACTCCACATCCTTAAGGGATCTTCGCTCTCATTTGTCTTAAGATGTAATTCGAAATATCGCTCAGAGAAAGTCTTCTTTTCTGTTTTTATCCTTTTCAGAGGCTTTTCTTTTTCAATGAGGTGTAAGGTTAGTAGAATCTTAGTCATCTCCACCATTCCAGGCACTAGAAGGGGCTGTTTACAACATGGCAAGCACCAATGTCTAAACCACCAGGAAATCCCAGACAGCCACAGAGAGCGCCTCTTACAGGGAAAACTTATTCACTGTGGCTTTACTTTTCACTTTCCTGATAACTAGTAACCTTTTAATATGTTTACTGGTCTTTTAATTTTCCACTTTTTGAAATGCTTGCTCATGTTGTTGGCCATTTTTTTGTATTTGAGTTTTTGTTGTTATTGACTGGTAGAGTTGTGATTTTTTTTTTTTACAGATACTTCGTGGTTATACATATATAAGGCACATTTTTACTAACTTCTTGACTTTCACTCACATACAAATAATGCCAATGTCAACCCCAAAGCTGCATGATTAAAAGCATATGGTTAGCCCTAACTGGTTTGGCTCAATGGATAGAGCATCAGCCTGTGAACTCAAGGGTCCCAGGTTCGATTCCGGTCAAGGGCATATACCTTGGTTATGGGCACATACCCAGTGGGGAGTGTGCAGGAGGCAGCTGACAGATGTTTCTCTCTCATCGATGTCTCTGACTCTCTAGCCCTCTCCCTTCCTTTCTGTAAAAAAAATCAATAAAATATATATTTTTTAAAGCATGTGGTTAGTCTCCATTTTCTTTCTTTCTTTCCCTTCCTTCCTCGGTCTCTTTCTTTTTCTCTCCCTCCCTGTCTCCCTTCCTTTCTTTCTCTTTGTTTTTATCTTTAATTTAGTTTCCTTTTCATTGGTCATCTTCTTTTCTTTCCTCTTCCTCCCCCTCCTCTTATTTTCCCTCTTTTCTCCTCCCTCCTGTTCTAAGTAGAACCAAGGCAACTGGCCAGCAAGTTGCCTCTAGCTAGGTGGATTTTTTTGCTGGTTCACCCACTGAATGTGTCCCCCGTGAGCTCTTGGCTTTAAGCTGGGATGAAAGGGTATGCAAGTGTTACAGACTGCTGAAAGCCCCCCTCTTTCATGCTGTACCACAGGGCAGGATTTTGCAAGCCGTCTCCTGGGAGTGTCCTGAAGATGTTGAGGAGGGGTGCAAGGACTTCACTTGTGTTTCTTTAGGACCTTGAGTTAACATCCTTTTGAGGATCCCCTTGAAAGTGATATGGTTTGCCTTCTGTTCCCCCCAAGACTCCTGAGGCTATTTAAATGGAGCTCCAATAAAGGGTGCAAAACATGCCCTTGGGGGGGCGAGGGGGAGAAAGAGCTTTAGGATTCTGCCTAATGCTCTCCCCTGGTATTTGGCCTGTTTATTCTATACTGTTTTAGGGACATTTTGATGCCTTTAGAAACATGTGTGTTATACTTAAAATAACTGTAAAGTACTTCAGCAGGATGATTTGAATTGACGTATTTTGGATCACTCAGTATGAATACAGGTGACTAATCCTTGGATCACTAAGGACGGGT